GGATCCCAAGGGGTCAGGTACATGGCCAACATTAACCTTGCCCCAACAAGGGAAATAACAGAACCCCTCAGAGGAAATCGGAGGATACGCTGCTCGCTCACTATCAGGCAACTGACTCAACCATTCCCATTCCCTTTCACGAGAGTGCAATGTGACCTCTAGCAGTTCGTAAGGAAAGCTAGGTGGAACCAAGTCCCCACGAGAGGTCCCCAGGGCCAGTTTGTCGGCAAAGGTGTTCCAAGGGTGTCCGTCATGTCCCTTAATATGGGAATTCGGCACTTTTGCAAGTGATCCAGCTAAGTCCCATAGCACTCTAGTCATAACCGCTAGCCTGCAAGACGTATCTAGTGCTCGTTCACGTCTCAATGCCGTAACCACATTCAATGAATCCGTGTTGATAGTCGCTGTCGTAGTACCAAACGTAGCAACTTCATAGATACTAGCAATAATAGCCCACATCACACCTACATACTCCGCGTCCGTTGACGAGGGTCTATTGGCAGTAATTGGTGTCCTGCAGGTGTCTGCAAGATACCCGTGCACATGCCCAGTGTAAGAGAGCCCGTTCGAGTCCTCAGATATCCGGACAACAGCCTACGTGGCAGACTGCATGTCTAAGTCCTTGACGGACCCGTCAGTGAAAAAATGAAAAGATGTCCAGTCCGCTTGTCTTGTCGGACACATATCCAGGGCAAGTTGAACCAATTCTGGTAATTGTATTCCTTCGGTTTCGGTTGTCCAGTTCAGCCTGCCATGTCTTTGAATGATCGAATATAAGGATTCCAAACGACTCATTGGGCAAACTAGAGGAGCAGTGCCTGAGAAAGAAAGAGAACTCTGGAGTGGGGGAACTGCACCTGATGCCTCGCCTCTTCCCCGGCAGGTTAAAGTGTCAGGGAGGATGGAACAGCGTGGGAGTAATTTTGTCCAGCATCGGCCCTGAATGAAAATAGGTGAACCCAGGACAACACAGATAGGTTTCGAAACTCAGCCGAGAGCCCCAGAGAAACTGAAAAGCATTGACCTGGATATTAGGAAACGAAACAGCTGCCTGCAAGCCTAGAAGCGAACCCTGATATACCAAAACATTGCTTAATTCTGACGATGTGGCTACACATACCGTCGGTGCATTGTGCGTCGAAATCAAAGCATCGAGCGAGAAGTCATGAAGCAACCCAAACAGTGATGTTTCTTGTGCGATACACCACAAGGGACAGGGCGGCTCAAGATCACCAGCGGAATATGCCTCCTCTCTCCATGCAGGTGCCAAGGGATTGGGCCATGAGCCTCTGACCTCGGCCTCACGCGGAACAAAAACAGGAGCGTCGGGTCTCAAGACCTGTGTAGTCATACTTCCCCTTCCCCACCTTAGTCCAGCCCATCCCGCCCCATCTAATGCTTCTCGCCATAGAGAGCTAAGGGCAGGCACCCAGTCATTGTCTTCCGAGGGAGGGGTGTATCTACTCTTAGCACATCCCTCTGTGAAATTCAGACAATGATAGCACCCACCCCCAGCCTCTTGAGGCTTCCGACCAGAATGCTTCAAAGGCTCTGGCTCGCATGAGTTGATCGCGCGCGCAGTCTCAGCTGGAGACTTGCACGACCTAGCAAGATAAAAATTCAAAATCAGCGAAACGATAACCTCTAACTTTTTTCCACATACACACGTGCAAGCAAGTTCGAGAAACACTTGAGAAATCAAGGCTGGATCCTACGTGGTTACCCGACATGTTCTCAACTGCCTGACAAGTGACATTATCATTGCTAGCTACATCAAGGGAAACTAAAATGTGGCAGGATGATGCCCTGCTCTCCGAACTGGGTGAGTCCACTGGGGTTTCAATACTGTGAGCCCGAGGTCTTAGTATGGAACGCCCTGGAGTGGCATAGAGAGGAGGAGAAATTACTGGTGGCCCCTCATCTGTTCGGAAAAATCTTACTTGCGCTGCGCCCAGTCTCACGCGGAGGTCCTTGCCTCTTTGCGTGGCGGACTGGCTGTCTCGGTGTCTAAGTGCGTCTCCTGCGTGGCCTGGCTCACGAGGTCGATCACGCCCATCGCGTCGGTGAGACCGCTCGGCGAGCCCTCTGGTGTTGCTGGAACTGGGCGTTCGACCGCCCCCCCTGCGGCCTCCCTCTCGTTCCTCTTGCGAGTCTGCTCGGCGATTTGTTCTGTCGTATATGAAGCTCCCATTGGTGTCGAGCTTGCCGTCGTACTGCCATCCGTAACCGATGTCTCCGGCGCTGGCATATGTGGATCCTCCATCTCGATGTGATGAAACGGCTGAGTCGGTGAAATCTGTGACATGTAAGGTATCTCGCCATTTCCATCTTGTCCGAAGTTGGGCACTGTCGCATTGATCGCGGGCTCCCTTGGCGTGGTTGCGACTGGTGTTGGGCATCCTCCAACTGGTGTCGGCGTTGCTCTCATTGGCTCTGGACTTTTCGCCGCCCTGTGTTTGTGCGGCGGCGTCTTGAATTGCACTCCCTCGGGGGCTGGCCCTGCCGTCGCCGTAGCAGGTCCCCCAGCGGGAAAAACTCCCGTCGATCCTCCTGCCCCTGTCGTATTGGTGACAGTAGCCGCCGTAGCCTGCTGCATCACAAAGTTCCCAAGGCTGTTTAGTACTGACTCCGTGTGATTCTGCTTTGCCATAAGGTTAGACAACATCTGCATCATACCTTCAAGCTGTGCTCCGAGCGGCGGTGGTTCAGCCTTGGGCGGTCCTGGAACTGTCGGTTCTGGTGCAGCGCCTGCTGGATGCGTGCGAACCTCCCCACGCGGCGCGTGGATCTTCTGGGGGGCGGGGCGCTCAGCAGCGACCGAAGCCGCTGCACATGCCCCACCTCCGCCTCCACCGCCTCGATCGTCCATATACGTATCCGCCATCTCAGTATCTGAATCCTCAAGCTCCTCAAGCTCCTCGATGCTGGTCTTGATGTGCTGTAACTCTAATTGGCACTGCTGAGTGTCCAGTTGCGTAGATCTGAGCCTCCCTTCCAGCACTTTCATTTTGTCCGTGGTAACATTCTTTCTCTGGCGCAACTCATGTAGCTGCCTGGTGACTGGCTCCATCATACTTAGCATATGTTTCAGAACAGATATCTCGTTGACCGTGTCAAGGCAATCCTTCCCTACGTTTCGGCCAGCTAAGCCCAGAGTGGCAAGACCCTGCAGCTTCTGCCTCACTGATACCTTGAACTTCTTGAGTCCATCAATCTCCATAGGAGCTGGCTCAAAGAAAGGTGAAAACTCTGCATCTGACTTGCAAGCTGGCATGATGGATGCTAGATACTTCTTAACAGCTTTTTTATTGTCATGCTCATTGGTCGCAGGTCCTCTCGGCCTTGATGGTGCTCTGGACTTGCCCTCGCGTGCCTGCGCTCGACCTGAACCATACCACCATAATGTACTCCACCAGGCAATACTGAACCCTGATGCGCCCAATTCTGATGCTGTTGGTTCTGTCCATATGCCTGTCCACACAAGCAGCGCCAGTGATGTCCTTTGACGTACCGTCCACACAGCATACAATCCCATTGCACTCCTGGACCTGTGCTACGTGTCCCTTCTTTGCCCGTCATATTTTGTGCAGAATGATGTGATGCTAAGATATATTTAGCTCGCAACGCACGTAGTAATAGTCTGCAAGCTCCCCTTTTTGCTCGTAGACGTCTATGCCAACTCTTCTCTTTTCCCGTGCTGAGTCTGCTCTCTGGCAAAATGCACGGCTTAGATCTCAACAGAAAGAGAAGTGAATCTATTAAGCAACGTATAAGGTGAGTCCGAGTGGTTCTGTATGTAGAACGCTCTGGCTCTCTCCAGAGTGCCAGAAAGGTCTCGGTCCCAAACCTTTGCCGAGGGCCGCCGAGGGGGGACCAGGGGCAGCCACAGCTCCACAACTGAGCCCGAGGCCTGTGCTGCAGGGGCCCAATGAGACACAGATAGACACATGTTCAATGATCCCCACCATTTCCCAACCATCCTGTGGTGTGTTCGGTCCTCGTTTTGAAGAGACAGCGCGCTCGAAAAACACTCACAGCTCTGGCGCCGCCGCTCGAGGCATCCTCACAACTCGGGCGCCGCCGCTCGAGATCTTAACCAGGCTGGGACAGCCGGAGGGGTAGACAGGCAGACAGGCAAGGGGGCAGTCACATCATGCCTCCTGCTGCTGCTTCTCCTCCTGCTTCCTCATGCGTCTTGCACCACCACGTATTGCCGTTAGCGTTCTATATATATATATATATATATATATATACCCCGGGGGTGGGTAGCGGCTCCTCCTCCTCCTCCTCCTCCTCCCTCCCTCCCTCCCTCCCCTACTCCCGTCATCCCTTCCTTCCTCCCTTCCTCCCTTCTCCCTTCCGCCCTCCTCCCTCCTCCCTCCTCCCTCCGTCCTCCTCCCTCGTCCCTCCGCCCTCCGCCCTCCTCCTCCTGCTCCTCCTCCTCCTCATCCTTCTCCTCCTTCTCTTCCTCCTCCTCCTCCTCCTCCTCCTCCTCCTCCTCCTCCTCCTCCTCCTCCTCCTCCTCAAGGCAGTCAAGACGCTGAAATAAGGACCACCTTGGGTTCTGGAGGGGTGAGATTCAGGTTTCGGAGCCGAGTTCGCCGTGGCCAGGGCAGCCCCTTCGTCCCTTCGTCAGCGTTCCTCATAGTAGCAGGATGACTGTAACCCCATCCCTCCTGGGCCAGGGCATCTGAGTCCCACCAGTGCACCCCCCCAGAGTGGGGACAGGCCCCGCGAAGCCAAGGGAAAGCAGTTGGAGGCAAGATCGGGGATCCGAGGTGCGGTGCGGCTCGATGCCTACCACTTTGCTCTACCCGTCTTTCCCTTCTCGCCTTTGTCCCCAATGAGGCCCCCCTCCACCTCGGGCCCGCAGCCGAGGGGGAGGGGCAGGACAGGTGGCTGCACGACGACGATCGACCGCCATGTGTGAGTCAGTGAGTGAGGGGCCAAGTCGTCCCGTGGGCCCCAGGCCACGCCAGTGGGGAGTGGGGCCCGCTGCACGCGGCTCAGGTGCTGGCCGCGGGGCTCGCGGCCTTCCTGCTCTCGTGGCAGCGGCCCGCGTCGCCGATGGCGGAGGACGCCAAGAGGGGGAAGCGAGTCAGCGGCGCGCCCACAGGGTCCTCCTCCTCCTCCTCCTCCTCCTCCTCCTCCTCCTCCTCCTCCTCCGACGACGACGACGACGACGACGACGACGACGACGACTCCTGACGTCTCCCCCCGCTCCCGAGGGCTTTCCAGCCTCGGGGCGCTTTCCAGCAGCGGCGCCTCGCAGCGGCTGCGCCCTAAGGGGTGCCCGAAGGGTCCCCATGTGACAGCCGCGGAAGATGGCCCGAGTGGCGCCCCGCCGGCGCGACCGCCGCGGCGCGCCCAGGGAGGAGTGCAGAGCGGGGGAGGAGCAGCGACACCAACACCACCAGGGGGCCCACCTCCAGCGAGGAGGTCCACGATGCCTCCCCGAGCTGGGTGCTGGGGATGTCTCGAGCGAGAGGGGGGGGGACCACACCACCAGGGCTCCCCTTGCCTCCTCGCACCTCCTCGCCCTGCTGGTGTTGGTGTCGCCTTTCCCTGTTCCCATGCAGAGGGGAGGGGGGGGGGGGCGGGCGGCCCTCGGAAGGCTCAGGAGGCCTCCAGCCGCCTGAAAAGTTGTCTTGAAAGGTTTCCCCGAGGCCACCAGAAGGCTTCCCAGAGGGCCAGAGAGGGCTCCCGAGATGCCCCGCCGCCTTCCGAGAAGGCCTGCTGGCTTGCACCCTCTGGCTTCCCGCGTTTCCCCGAGGCCGCCAGAGGCTTCCCAGAGCGCCAGAGAGGGCTTCCGAGATGCCCCGCCGCCTTCCGAGAAGGCTTGCTGGCTTGCACCCTCTGGCTTCCCACGGTTTCCCGAGGCCACCAGAGGGCTTCTCAGAGGGCCAGAGAGGGCTTGCGAGATGTCCCGCCGCCTTCCGAGATGCCCCGCCACCTTCCGAGAAGGCCTGCCCGCCTGCACACTCTTACTTCCCACGTTTCCCCGAGGCCACCAGAGGGCTTCCCAGAGGACCAGAGAGGGCTTCTGAGATACCCCGCCGCCTTCCGAGAAGGCCTGCCGGCCCGCACACTCTTATTTCCCAGTTTCCCCGAGGCCACCAGAAGGCTTCCCAGAGGGCCAGAGAGGGCTCCCGAGATGCCCCGCCGCCTTCCGAGAAGGCCTGCTGGCTTGCACCCTCTGGCTTCCCGCGTTTCCCCGAGGCCGCCAGAGGCTTCCCAGAGCGCCAGAGAGGGCTTCCGAGATGCCCCGCCGCCTTCCGAGAAGGCTTGCTGGCTTGCACCCTCTGGCTTCCCACGGTTTCCCGAGGCCACCAGAGGGCTTCTCAGAGGGCCAGAGAGGGCTTGCGAGATGTCCCGCCGCCTTCCGAGATGCCCCGCCACCTTCCGAGAAGGCCTGCCCGCCTGCACACTCTTACTTCCCACGTTTCCCCGAGGCCACCAGAGGGCTTCCCAGAGGACCAGAGAGGGCTTCTGAGATACCCCGCCGCCTTCCGAGAAGGCCTGCCGGCCCGCACACTCTTATTTCCCAGTTTCCCCGAGGCCACCAGAGGGCTTCCCAGAGGGCCAGAGAGGGCTCCCGAGATGCCCCGCCGCCTTCCGAGAAGGCCTGCCGGCCCGCACCCTCTGGCTTCCCGCGTTTCCCCGAGGCCACCAGAGGCTTCCCAGAGCGCCAGAGAGGGCTCCGGAGATGCCCCGCCGCCTTCCGAGAAGGCCTGCCGGCCCGCACACTCGTACTTCCCACAATAGCTATACAGTGAATCTGGAACGAGTGGCCAGGGCCAGCCCTTCCACGTTTTCCAGCCCTGGCTGGTTTCCTGTATTTTTGTTCAGCCCTGGCGGCTTCATTCCAGCTTTTCTGAGGTCGCGTCGGTCCCTGCCAGTGTTTCCAGCCCTGGCTACATCCACGCTGACGGCATTTCTACTTTCGGTTTTCTCAGGCTTCTCTCTTTACGCCGAAGGCAGATCTGGTCACCATTGGTTCCTTGACCACCCTTCATGTGGTCGAAGCTGATAAAGTTTTCGAGCTGCGTCCAGCCGTGCTGACCAGGGTGCTCCTTCCCAGACACGATCGCGTCCATAAAAAATCTGGACGGCTGGTTTTCGGCAGTTTTCGGCCTCGGGAGGCCCTCGCCGGGCCTCGGGACCGTCAAAAAACGATTCGGGATGAAAAACCGGTCCTGGCGAAAGGGTCGGGACTTCCAGGGACCCCGCATTGAAAAATGAGGGCGTCGCATGTCTGGGTTTCTTTCTCCCTCCTTTTGTTGGCTGCAACCAGTGCTGGGCCACCTTAGCCTCCCAGCCGTCTCCAAGCGGTGCGTTTTGGGCGCTGGTTAAGGACTGTGCCGAGGAGGGCTCAGATCGCGAAGAATTCCTTATCTAATGAGGGCGGCATGGCCAATCCACGATTAGACATCCGTCGGCGTCTAGACCCTGGACTCCTTATCCAAAGATTCCTTACCCGATGCCCTCACCCCAGACCCCCGACGTCATGATTTTTTCGTGCCGTCGACCCCTGGAGGTTCCAACCCATTCCATGGGACCAGTTTTTCATCCTGAACCGTCTTTTGACGGCCCTGGGGCCCAGCGAGGGCCCGGGGAGGCCGACGATCGTCAAAGACCGTCTGCATAATGCTTTCATGACCAGATCTCTGCCACGGCCAGATTCCCAGCCCAGACCCTCGACGCCCTGATTTTATCACAACGTCGACCCCCAGACGTCTGGACCCCTTCCCCAGGAGCGGTCTTTTATCCCAAGCCGTCTTTCGACGGCCCCGAGGCTGGGCAAGGGCCCCCGGGGGCCGAAGACGTATAGAAACTCCTCCCGTCGCGATGCTGCTGCAGCGCGAGGGGGTCTTGAGTGCAAGGGCTGCTTCTCCCCACCCTGAGATCCGACGTAGCGAAAACATTGCAACCGTCGTAGAACATCACGCCCGGAGCCCCACACCGCGTCATGTTTCGAGCCGCATCGACCCGTGAGGGTCCCGGGGATTCCGCGTTGGAGCGACAACGCGCGCAGGGAAGGACTTGCGACGCCAGGATCTTAGGGCATGCCCTCGCCGCATCGGCAACTTTTTTCTTGCCGCCGGCTCCTCCTCCTCCAGCTCCTCCTGCTCCTCCTCCGCCTCCTCCTCTTCCCCCTCCCTCCTCCTCCTCCTCCTCCCCCTCATCCTCCTTCCTCCTCCTCCTCCTGCTCCTCCTCCTCCTCCTCCCTACTCCTCCTCCTCCCCCTTCTCCTTCCTCCTCCTCCTCCTCCTCCTCCTCCTCCTCCTCCTCCTACTCCTCCCCCTCCCCCTCCTCCTCCTCTTCCTAGTCCTACTCCTTCCCCTTCGCATCTGCGTTGATTCCGCTCTGGCCTGGGAACGGCCCATTAGAAGGTGGGCAGCGTTTAACCCGGGCTAGTTTTGTTTCATGCATGTCCTTCTCCTCCTCTCCTCCTCCTGGGGTAGGGTTCTTGGCGCTGAATCGGAACTGGCAACGCCCCAGGCATGGACTGGGGGTCAGTTGCTGTCCGAGGAACGCGCATGAGCTTTAGTGCAGCCCCGAACAAATGTCAAATGTCCTCCTCCTCCTCCTCCTCCTCCTCCTCCTCCTCCTCCTCCTCCCCCTCTCCTCCTCCTTCTCCTTCTCCTCTTCCTCCTCCCCCTCCTCCTCCTCCTCCTCCTCCTCCTCCTCCGCAGCGGCAATGCTCTTGTTTGCCACCCCAGGACGCGGGCGCCGCGGGGCAGCACGCCGTGGGCGCCCGCTCGCCGCCCTCCATCAACCCCGAGCGCGGCGCCTGGAGCGGCGGCTTCGGCATCGTGGGCCCCGGGGCGCTGTCGAGTGCGAAGAATGTGGTTCCGACGAAGGCCATCGAATCAGAATACAGATGAATCGAATTAAGACTGAGCGTAGTGATGCCACGAATGCGAAAGTTATTACCAAACATGGTGCTACCTGTTCATAACCGTAGTAGCGCGACTAGTACTAACAGGAGTATCACTACGACAACAACAACCACAACATCAACAACAACAACTACTACTACTACTACTACGACTACTACTACTACTATTATTACTACGACACCGACTACTACTACTACTACTACTACTACTACTACTACTACTACTACCACTACTACTACCACTACTACTACTACTACTACTACTACTACTACTACGACGACGACGACGACGACGACGACGACGACGACGACGACGACGACTACTACTACTACTACTACTACTATTACTACTACCACCACTACTACTACTATTACTATTCTTATTATTAGTACGATTACTACTACTACCTACTATTGTTACTACTACTACTACTACTACCTACGACTGCAACGACCACTGCGACTATTAGGACTACTACGACTACTACGACTACGACGACGACTACGACTACGACGACTACTACTACTACTACTACTACGACTACTACGACTACTACGACTACTACGACTACTACGACTACTACGACTACTATTGCTACTGCTACTACGACTACTACTACTACTACTACTACTACTACTACTACTACTAGTACTACTAGTACTAGTAGTACTAGTATCACTACTACTACTACGACTACTACTACTACTACACTTGCTACAACTACAACTACTACTACGACGACTACTACTACTGCTACTATAACTACTACAAGTAGTACTACTAGTAGTACTAGTATCACTACCACTACTACTACTACTACTACTACTACTATTACTACTACTACTAGTATTATTAGTAGTAGTCGTAGTCGTAGTAGTAGTAGTAGCAGTCGTAGTAGTAGTAGTAGTAGTAGTAGTAGTAGTAGTAGTAGTAGTAGTAGTAGTCGTCGTAGTCGTAGTCGTAGTCGCAGTCGTAGTCGTAGCCGTAGCCGTAGTAGTAGTAGTAGTAGTAGTAGTAGTAGTAGTAGTCGTAGTAGTAGTAGTAGTAGTAGTGGTGGTAGTAGTAGTAGTAGTAGTAGTCGTAGTCGTAGTAGTAGTAGTCGTAGTCGTAGTAGTAGTAGTAATAGTAGTAGTAGTAGTAGTAGTAGTAGTAGTAGTAGTAGTAGGGGTGGTGGTGGTAGTCGTAGTAGTAGTAGTAACAGCAGCAGTAGTAGTACTCCTACTACTACTACTGCTGCTGCTGTTACTACTACTACTACTACTACTACTACCACTACTGCTACTACTACTACTACTACTAGTACTAGTACTACTACTACTACTACTACTACTACTACTACGACTACTACTACTACTACTACTACTACTACTACTACTACTACTACTACTACTACTACTACGACTACGACTACGACTACGACTACGACTACTATGAAGAACGTGACAAGAATTCGAATATTAATAGCACTGCGATCAATAGTACTAATGTCATTATTCACGCTTCGCGTATACCCACCAGCCCATTCAGAAGCTCTGCCCACGAGAGCTCACGGGAAAAGGGACGAAGGGACACATCTAGGGAAACAAGGCGAGCAACCAGGATGGACCGAGAGATCTTTGGGAGCAAGGGGGTGGCCTTGGAAGGCCTCCTCGGGCCATCCCTGAGGGCCGCGTGGGGGCGAGGGGAAGAGGCGGAGGAAAAGGAGGAGGAGGAGGAGGAGGCCCCTTGGGCGCCTCTTGGGGCACTCTTGCGGCCTCCTGGGAGCTGCCTGGGTGCCTCTCGGAAGGTTTTGGGGGGCCTTTGGGGGCTTCTTGGGGGCCTCTTTGGCAGTCTTAGGGCGTTCCTGGCTTGTCTGACGCCGTCGGAAGCCGTCTTTGGGACCTGTTTGGGCAGTCTTGGGACCCTCTTGGACATTTCAGGGGCTCTTAGGGGCCATCTGGCCGTCTTGGAGGCCTCTTGGGCAGTTGTTGGGTCCTCTTGGGGCCGTCTTGAGGGCCTCTTGGGCCGTCATGGGGCCATCTTGGAGGCCTCGTGGGCGATCTTGGGGGCGATCTTGGGGCCTCTTCGGGCCCTCCTGGAGGACCTCCTGGAGGCCTCTTGGGCCGTCTTGGAGGCCTCTTGGGGGCCTCTTGGGCCGTCTTGCGCCATCTGGAGGCCATTTCAGGCTGTCTTGGGTGCATCTTGGACCGTCTTGGAGGCATCTTGGTGCCATCGTGGGCGCCGTCTTGAGCCGTCGGAATGCCGAGAAGAAGCAAATGCCAACATCTTTCAAACACCGAATGAAAACAACAATGAATTTTGGCCTCTTCGGGCACTCCTGGAGGACCTCCTGGAGGCCTCTTGGGCCGTCTTGGAGGCCTCTTGGGGGCCTCTTGGGCCGTCTTGCGCCATCTGGAGGCCATTTCAGGCTGTCTTGGGTGATCTTGGACCGTCTTGGAGGCATCTTGGTGCCATCGTGGGCGCCGTCTTGAGCCGTCGGAATGCCGAGAAGAAGCAAATGCCAACATCTTTCAAACACCGAATGAAAACAACAATGAATTTTGGCCTCTTCGGGCACTCCTGGAGGACCTCCTGGAGGCCTCTTGGGCCGTCTTGGAGGCCTCTTGGGGGCCTCTTGGGCCGTCTTGCGCCATCTGGAGGCCATTTCAGGCCGTCTTGGGTGCATTTTGGGCCGTCTTGGGAGGCATATTGGGGCCATCTTAGCCGTCTTGGAGGCCATCTTGGACGTCTTGGAGGCCTCTGGGGCCATCTTGGGGCCCTCTTGGGGCTCTCTTGGGGCCCTCTTGGGAGCCCTGGAAGGCCTCTTGGAGCCATCTTGAAGGCCATCGATCAAAGGAGGAGCGGGGATAACGTTCAGCCCCACCCCAAAGAGGCCAACATGGGGCCACAACCTTGGTACAACCAATGATTTTGGCGCCCAGCCCAAGAGGCCAAAATGGGGCCACAACTTTCGTAAAGCCGATGATTTTGGCGCCCAGAGGGCTGGTGGGATATTTTTCAGCCCCTCCTCAAAGAGGCCAAAATGGGGCCAAAACCTTAGTCAAACTAATGATTTTGGCTTCCTCGCCGAGGCCGTTTTGGACGCCCTGTCACCTCGCGGGGGGGCCCGAAAAAGTCCAAGGGAGGGGGAAGGGGAGGGGTAAACCCTTCCCCGTAGGGGAAGAGGGGTTTCTTGGAAGAGGGAAGAGGAATCTCGTTAGACCACCTGTCACCCAAAGTGCTGGTGGGACTAGTAGCCCTAAGACTAACGATATTAATCTGTTTAGCCGTTGACGTGAATACCCCTCGCCCCTTCCTCGCCCGCTAGGTGTCTCAGCCTTGCCCCCGCTACCGCGGTGGGTCAAGTCCGAGAGGCCCGCGCTCGGCCGGCCTGTATGGAAGGCGGGCCGCCGTCGCTGTGGGCGACGCTGGTGACCGCCTGGAGCGCGACTCTGGGCGTTTGCTGGTCCTGGGGCTGGGCGCAGGCCCCCGCGGCGCCCCCCCTGGTGCGGCCCTCCTCTTCCAGCTGCGGCGCGGAGGAGGCCTGCCACTGCTTCTGCGACAGAGAGTTGCGGCTCGGCCTCGCGACTCCGACGGCGGGCGCGCTGGGCTTCCTGGCAGGGGCCTGCCGGCGGTGCCGCAACGGCTTGCGAGGACGCGCGGCTGGCGGGGGGGTCCCAAGCGCTGCGGCGGATCGCGCCGAGGCGCTTCTGGCGGCGGTGACGGCCGGCGCCGGCCCGCTGACGCCTAGCCGACGCCATGGCTGACGTCCTGACCTTGGACGTCGCGGACCCGCAGATCCTCGTGCGGTACGAGAACGATCCGCACGGGTTCTGCTGGCATCATCGGGTGTTGCTCTTCAGAGCGAGCGAGGACACCTGCCTGGACCACGACCTGGTCCCGGTCAAGCTGCTGGACACGGGCCACGAGGTGCTCGAGTGTCGGGCGCCCTTCCCCGCGCACCTGGCGAACCAGGTCTACGCCCACGACCCGATCGGAGGTGCGGCCCTCGCGGCCTTCCGCCGCCGAGCGATGCAGCAGGGCCCGCTGCTGGGCGTCGGTCAGGTGGATGCCATCAAGCGGATGATCTGGGTGGTGGCCGAGCCGCGCTCCGACTCTTTCGGTGAGGTCATCGATGCGGCAATCAAGGACGGCGAGAACCGCGGCATGGGCTTCGACCAGAAGGGCGTGGCGGTGCTGGATGGCGAGGAGTTCTTCGCGCAGAAGATACCGGCTAGCAGCTTGTCGGATTTCAAGCGGGACGCTTGGGCCGACTTCGGCGACGTGCGCATTTTGGGCGACCGCCTGGACGAGGCGGGCCAGATCGCGTCGCCTGCCTGCCTGCGGCGCGACCGCTCTAGCGCCGGCCTGCAGGCGCTGTGCAGACGGGCGGCTGCCTACTGGCTCGGCGGGCAGATCGCGTCGCGGCTCCGCTGCGTCGAGACGGATCGGGACCCCGGCGACCTCGACTCCCGCCAGTGGGGCGCAAAGAAGGTCGCAGAACCCGCGCCGGCGCCTTCTTCGGCAGCGCCACCCGCGCGCGCGGCGGCCGAGGCGGAGAGCGCAGTCGGGCCGGACAGCGCGAACCGTGTCGGCGGAGAGGCCGCCGAGGGGCTTGACGATGTCAGTTCTTATTTTCCTTTTGAGGGTGAGCAGACAGCCTCGCCCTTCATCGATATCATCACTGCCGACGTCGGCCTTGCGCATCTCTCGCCTTGCGCTTCAGAACGAGCCTGGTGAATTAGTTTTTTGTTTGGAACTCTTTGGGGGCCTCGGGCTGCTGACTCGAGCTTGCAGAACGATTGGGCTTCCTCTTGCCGACCCTGTGGACATCGTGGATGGATGCGACCTTGACTTGTCTCGACATGCCACGCAGCGGTATATCCTGGATCTGGCCCGTGGAGGCCGCCTGCTCTATGCGCAGATTGGGGCGCCCTGTCAGGTCTGGAGCATCGCTCGCCGGGGCGTCAAAAACCATGCGC